GTAAAAATAGGGTTTCAAACTGGGTTGACTCCTAGCCAACACGTCCAACTGCACATTGTTCAAACTGACTTTTTCCATTTTAGACTTGGTACACGTCGTATTGCACGGTCTTGTTGCTATTGATCTCCAGGAGATTTTCAAATTCAGCATAGATGATGGCGGTGACGTTAGCACCCTGATCGGCTCCAAAGTCAAACACCAACTGCAACTCACCGCTCAGCTTGGGGTTCAACACTGGACTGTTCAGGCAACCGTTGGCTGCATTCTCAAATACAAACAGAGTGCATCCTTTACCTCGTCCCCAATCTTTTGCTCTCACCATGTTTCCTTTGCTCTTGCACAAACTTCCTGTGGCTTGTAGAAATTGCCTGTAGCCTCTCAGGTCTTTACTTCCATTGTCATGTAGCAATTCCAAGGCTTGATAGGGATAGGTTTCTCCTCTCGCCACTTGTTTGATGCTGGTCAGATTAAATTGCTGGAATGTGAAGGGATACTCGTCGGCGGCTCCGTTGAAGGCTGTGGAAGCCACCAATCCCACCACTAGCATGTTGGGTAACCGGTTCTGGAACGGGTTGGTAATTTCATAATGTAACTCGTTTCAGGTGATGTTGTAGGTCCTGATCTAGCTTCTGACCGTGGGATAGCTGACCATGTTTCTCCCACTACCCATGTCATTCATCAATTCTCTGTAGACAGAGGGGTTGAGTCTCACTTGGCAAAGATACAATTTCACTTTAATGTCTCTGGAATCGATACGGAAGGCCACAGCGCCATCCATTTGCCACATCCACACATCTGCTGAATTGAAGTACATTTGGATACCAATCTACACATTGGGTATCAAGAGTTTGTTGAGGTGAAACACTTTGATGTGGGGTACAAAGCTGAAAGTGCGAGTCATACTGTCTATGCTAGCGGCTTGGGTTCTGAACTCACGCACCAGGTCTTGTCTTTCGGGGGGTAGAGCTTTGAAATCATTGTGTGTCAAAGTCAGTTGAGTGGCTGTCAAGGTATTGGGCACATTGACATGATTGAACCAGCCTTGAGGTTTCAAGATGGTGTCTCCATCATCTCTGTCAAAATTCAGTAAGCTTTGTAATGGTAGGTATCCATCTGAGGACCGATGAGCGTACCATTCAGTCGCATGCTGATCTGTTTGAAGAGGGAGTGAGCAATGTTGTTGACCAAAAACGTGTTTTCGGCTGCCACGGCATCGCCACCTGCTGCTTTCTGCACTTTCCAATCCAGTTCGAAGTAACTGCGAGACAAATCGATGTAATCTTCTTGCGGATCGATCTGAAAATTGATCAGGTTGATGCCTGTGGTGAAAGGATGAATAGGTACCATCCCATAATTTGAGATACTCAGGTCCATGGGTGGTACCTGAAACAAATTCAACATGGGGTTCTTGACCCCAGCCGAACCAGGGAGAGGGACAATGTCCATCATCGTCATCGCTTAGGTCCTCGTCGATGTCTTCTCTTGAGAGCGCTCCATACCCAAGTGGGGTCTAGACCTCGTCTGCGGTGTGGTAAGAAGGCTCCTCCCTTTTGTACTCTTCTCCTTCTTCCTCGAGTAAACTCACTGATGATGGGTGGAATGCGTTGAACGCGTCTCAAATAAATAGGATTCATATTCATTTTCCAAAAATGTTGTCCAACTTGCGTTTGGCTGCTCGGTTGATTTCGCTCAAGGCTTTGCGTTTAATGGCTCGTCTCCCACCTGCGTTCACGCCTGGAATGCTACCCACAATGTTGGGTAATCCCATGGGTCTGCCCTTTTTTAAACCTTGCCATCCTTCTCATAAACTGGATCCCAAAAAGTCTCGTAAGAAACCTCGTCCCATTTGACCGTCGGGTTTGAAACGCGTCAAAGCACCGCCTCTCATTCTTGTTTGAAGTGTAGAGTGACAATGGTATTGCCTGCTCCAAATTTCATCAATTCACCAGTGGTCTCCGCGACTTGTGTCTCTATAATGTCGATGTAATCTTTGTGTACTGGAATATATTGAACATGGAGAGGTTCAAAATACTGGAATCCTTTGCCTTCTCGCCTGTAATTCACTTCTCGTAACAGATCCGTGACTTGATTCCCCACCACACCACTACTCCCCACATCCGAGTAAATCATCAACGAACACGAGCTTGAGCCCGTCACGTTCTTGAACAACGTGTTGAGGTTAATGAACCCCCAGTTAAAGGTTAGGGTTAACTGAACTCTCTTTTTGTCGGGTGTGAATTGCCAATAGGGAGCGCCTGTAAGTCGGTTGATGTCGACAGCAGCTGGTACTTTCAGTTCTTTGTTATTCAGTTCCATGGACAAATTCGGTCCCAAATCCACATTGTTTCCATTCATCTTAAACCATCCCATGTCGATACCCAGTTCCAGGTTGACGTAGATTTGCGGATAGTAATGACCTCGGAAGAGTCTCAGGTTGACATTCGTGTTGTCGATGACAAAATCTTTGCCTTTGAATTGGAAATTCAAGAGATTACTTTTCTTGGTCGTTTTATCCGTGAACAGGTAACCCGCTCGAAGCCTCTTTTCAATCACGGTGGTGTCAAAAAAAGTCTTGGCAGTCTTCATGAATTCCACACCCATCAGATTGGACAAATCGCCTGTCCGAAGGTGTTCGGGTTTGAAATCCGCCCCGTCAGCATTGTGTCGGTTGTTCAATTGCACTGTGTCTTCCACAAACCAATAGCCTTCAAACATCACATCGTCCCCTTGCAACAAGGGAGGTAGTTGACTCTTGGGGTCTGGTAACGAGATACTACTGAGTCTCACTTTCCAATTCACGCCTTCCATTTTCAAAGGATGAGGGAGACAAATCTTGAAATGATTGGATCGGTTCTTGGGATACTTGGTCTTACTACTGTGGCTCGGTAGACTCACGTAAAAATCCGTCATGTTTAAAATGCAAAGTGACAGTCACCACTCCTGAAGGAAATTTCACCAACTCACCGTCGTTCTCGGCCACTTGCGTCTCGATAATGTCAAACACGTCACTGCGCACCGGTAGATATTGGATGTTAACAGGTTCAAAGCTCATCTTCTTCTCATCGTGGGGGACTTCTCTCAAGAGATCGGTGACTTGATTCCCCATCACTGTACTTTGCGCCACGTTGCAATAGACATACATGGGCGGACGGAGAGTCTCACTGATGGTCACGTTACCACCATAGCTCTGTTCATAGAGCTCGTCCAGATAGTCGAAGTGCCAATTGCAATAGGAACTGAGCTGTAAGGAGCCATCGTCTCTGATGTTCCAAAAATTAGTGGAATGAGCGTTGTTTTGATTGACCCAATCGAGTTTGAAATTGGTGGGCACTTTGTCGTCTTTGAAGAGTTTCACCACGTGATTGGTCAATTTGTAATCATCAATTCCAGTCTTTTCCACCCACTTCATCTTCTTGACCAACTTAGGACCGAACCACACTTTGGGTCGCAATCTATTTTCACTTTCTTTTTGATTGAGGAACATATCGGTGTTGTCAATGATCAAAGAATCACCTTCCCAACGAAACACGGGGTAGTATTTTTTACCGTTGGGAGCTCATAGAGTTTCATTGCCACGTTCCATGTACTCAGTCAGACGATGTTGGAAACGATTGACCAAGTATCGCATGAGCGATTTACCACTCGTGACTTTGACCTGGTCCTTGTGCAGGTCGGCCCCCTTGATGTAAAATCCATTGCGGTAGACCAACGGAAACCAGAGACCATTGGAACTACGTTGGAAGGTTTCCATGGTCCAATCGAATTCTAACAAGACGTCATCATCTTCGAAGAGGTGTGGTCGGCGAGGCGGTGATTGATGAGGTCGCAAGGGTGGGACCGGGTAAGAGATACTACTCAAACCCACTTTCCATCCTTCTTCTTTCAATTGGATCTGGTAAGGCAAACGGTTCTTGAAACTGTTGGCTTGATTGGAGGGGAATTCCGTGGTACTGGAACTGCTGATCAATTGTACATAAAACTCCTTCATCTCGACTTGACCAATGCCCCTTTCTCAATCCACGTGTCGTATTTGTTTGGCCAACCTTTCCAACGAACCAAGACTTTATCCCCTTTGCGTTTAATGATCTTTTCCATGTGAAATAGATCGTCGCCCTTCACTGTCACTTTCTGCAAATCCTGGGTGTAAAATGTACCGCTCAGAGGTGTTCCATCCCACTCGTTAATCTTATAGGTAGGAATCACACCCGGCACAACACGAGCCACCACAAACACTTCTTCAGTCCAACCCGGTAAATACCCTTTCTTGAATAGGCGATATTTCTTATTCAATCTCACCCGATCCCCCACTTTCAACTCGGGTGGCACACGTTTGGCTTACAGTCGATCCGCATACAGATTCTTCCACACCTGCTCTTCGTTACCCAGGTTGACTTTCTCGGGCAGCATCTTGTACTATGGTGATAGGAACGATTGTATCCCAACACCAAATCCTTCAAGACCGGTAAATAACTGAACGTGTTCTTGACCGTAAAATATCGATACATGCGTTTCTTCAAGGTGTGATTGAATCGTTCGATCACACTGGCTTTGGTATCACCACTGGTGGAAAAATGACGAATGTCTTTTCGCGTCATCAAGACTTGAAAGGTCTTGTAAAATTCTTTGCCATCGTCGGTTTGCAACTTGCGAGGGATCCTGCCCTCACTGCGTTTCAAAATTTTCTCGAAGGCAGCCGTCATGTCCTTGCCAGTCTTTGACTTGACCGGTTCCACCCAAGCGTACTTTGACAACACTTCCACCACCGTCAATAGATACCTGTACCCTCGATTCGATTTGCCAATGTTCCCCACTTCAATGAGATCCGCCACCCATTGTTCGTCGATACCGTAAACCATGACCGGTACAGTACGAAAACGATGACGCATGGGCTTGTGAAGCATGTAGCCCAAACTGGCTTCCAATCGCTTGCGTACCTGTCCAATGGGTAATCCTCGGGCTTTGGCAAAATGCGTCACGCCTCCCAGACTTCCTGGGACACTGAGATCCTTGTACGACCTCACCAAATTGGCATACCGATCCACCTTCTTTTTCTTACTCATAATGTCGACAATTGGCACAGAGCTTGTCTAATCAGCTCGGGGTGTTCTCGTCTTATGATAGAGTACCACGCGATTGGCATGGGTTGTCGTTTCAACCACAATATGAAGACGACAAAACACCAGACATCCTCTTCGACATGCGTCTCCAAAAACACCTGTTCGGGGTCAAACCCTATCAACGAGGGAATGGGATATTTCTTTTCATACTTCGCATATAAAAGCTCGCAGCACTCGCACAGACTATACCATGCACTAGCCATGCTGACAAAAAAATGATTTTTTTATTTCACATCACTGTTTTTTATACAAAAAAAGGGACTAAACCAGGATTCGAACCTGGGACCTTTGGGTTATGAGCCCAACGTGCTGACCACTACACCATTTAGTCATCCTCGTTCATCAAACAGTGATTGAAACTATTTACAAGGTCGCACTGTTCTTTCTCCGTCATCAATTCCACCAGCAAGTCCTCCATCTTTTCAGTCAGTTCCCTGAAATAAGCGGGAGTCCCCAATGAAATCGGACAATTCAGTTTATCGCTCAGTCTGACAGAGATATCTCGGGCATGAGTCAGGGGCTCCACCATCTTCTTGATCTTCTGCCTCATCATGAAGGTCAAACTCGATGTGGCCAATAGACAGAACCGGTCCTTCAATCTGACCGGCGGAACAACAGCCGGCACAAAACGAATCACATCCAATTCCTTGATGTAGACCATGGAGTACCAATCGATGGTGAACAGAAAGGTTCTGTGCACTTGAGATTTCAACAAAGGAAGAATCTGCCATCCCCACTCAGGACGTCGATGGAGTAGTTCAGGAATGGTCCAGTCGTGCTCAGGTTTACCATAAAACAAAATGTCAAACACCAACAGGTCACCGACCCCTTCGTCTTCATCGATGCAACCCAAAGGCGATACGATCAAATGAACGATCTCGTTACTGTTACTGTACAACACGGTCAACATCTCGAATCAAAAGATAAAAACAACAACTACACCGCAATGTTTTATAGTAAAAAACGCAAGACGCTCATTGGTCAATAGCGCAACACCCCACCCAAAAAAGTACTGAATCACGAGGTAAACCAATGTTCATTGTCCATGGCTCTCATGAACGTGTCAAGGGTCACTTTCTCATCCCCACTCGTCTTCCACTCTTTCCACCCTAATCGCATGGCGTCCACCAATTTATGCAACTTGACGCGACTTCCCGCTGCATCCATCTTCTCCGCCACTTTCAAAATCCCCCGAGACAAAGCGCCTCGGTACCTATCCATCTTATTCCCCATTTCGGCAGCTTCCTCCAACATGATGGTATCAATGGTCTTTTTGATCAACAAGATCAAAATATCATCAGATTCTTCTTTCTCTTCTTCCACCTCCATCTTAACAACAGGGATTGACTCCTTGGGAAATGGATTCGTTTTCTTCCTTCTCTTCAAGGTGGTCTTGTTTTCAACCAGGGGAGTCTCCTCGCTGCAATCCATCGTGTCAAGTGAACTCCAAGCAGTAGAAGCGCGTTTTTTATACACCCATACCTGTCAATCAAGTAAAATCACTTTCGTGATGGAAAAGTACTGACCACGTCATGGGAAAGTACTGGCTCTTGATTGGTCGAAGCAGAACCCTATAAATACAAGGACACAGTTTCATTTCGATTCAGTTTCAGTCGTGATCAGTCACAGGAAGCATGGAGCCCCCGACACCCAGTCCAGATGAATCCCCCATGCGCTATATGTTACCGGACCCAGCTCACCCCAAGCAAGAATTAAAGAAGCGAGAGACGACCACGGCCTACGGGCGTTGGTCCTATTACAAATGTCTCGTCCCCGATTGTTTTGCCTGTGCAGGCGTCGACAACATCCAATGTTATGTGACTTCAGGTCAACGTATGCTGAACGACTACTATGTCCAACTACCCGTAGAAAAAATGAAATGCTATTGCCAAAGACCTCTCATCATGAGCATGTCCAGATCAGAAAAGAACCCGGGCAAGTTTTACTTCAGGTGTTCCAAGTGCCAATGCGACATCTTTCAATGGGCCAATGAATACCTGCAAACCAAGGTCAGAGCCTGGTTAGAAGAGGGTCGAAAACTTTGGTTGGAACCCCAGCCCCTTCAACCAGGTGTAGAGAGAAGAGATGCTCTGGGTCCCTTCGAAGGGAACTGGGATCAAAACGATTTGAGCCCACAGACCAAGTTCAACTTAGATCGACTACTCCGAGACAACACCCCCCAAGAATTTCACCAGCAGTACATGTATGATGAATTCACCCCCAAAGAACGTTTGTACCTGGAACGAAGAGGTTTACCTCCACCCAAGTAAAGCTCTCATTGGTCACCCATTTTTCATAAAAAGGCAGTCCAAAAAAAGCCAACCGTCAGTTTCAAACATGGAAGGGACACAGAACAAGCTTTGCTTCATTTTGGATCTAGACGGTTTTTTCATCAACAAGACCTTTCAAGTCAGAGAACTGGGTTATTACGCTTGGAACC